CCTTAAAGAGTATTAATGCTGATAGGCACAACTTGTGCTAAAAGTATTTGCTGCACCCTTTTTCCTTGCCCAGTTTTTGTCCCAACTGGATTTTTCTAGCATGGTTTTTAACAAGGCAGCAACGAAAAGTATACTATGAAGAAAACATCAACAACAAAGATAAAACCTTTGAATGACAAGGTATTGAAGCAACAAACAAGTACATGACGGTTAAATAGTGTTTGGCTCGGTGGCAAATTCTTAATGGGAAGTAAAATTTACCATCGGACCGAAGGCTATTCAACCATTCATAAGTGTTTTCCCTAAAAACCACAAGGGGGTGGTTAAATAATCTTTGGCTCGATAGCAAAGTTCCTAATGAGAAATGAAGCTTGCTATCGAACCAAAGATTATCCAACCATTCATTATTGTTTTTCCTTAAAGGACCAAGACTTCTAGTGTTCCAATTCACATTCCTTGCATTTGAACACTAGGGGAAATAGTATGAGAATATGTCAACTTGATTGCTATATAAATCGGGACTACGAGACCCGGGAACAAAAATATCTCACCAGGATCGGTGTAACGACCTGACTGGTTATTTTTCTTTCTAGAACCCCGTTCCCCTAAATAAGACTTTCCGTACTTGCTTTAACTAATTTATGACTTGCGTAGATGATTAGTTCGAGATTTAGAAGAGTTTGGGTTGAATTCGGAACACTTGGTTCTTTAAGGTTGGCTTAAAATGCTAAATTTGACTTCGGTCAATATTTTAACTAAACGACCTCAGAATTGGGATTTGACGGTTCCAGTAGGTTCATATGGTGATTTCGTACTTGGACGTATGCTCAGATCGGGTTTTGGATAACCCGGGAGCATTTTGGCGCCTAATAGTGAAAGTTGGTTCTTGAAGGTTTTGAAAGAACTTTAAATTTGGTTTGGAGCGGGTTTTGGTGATATCGAGGTCCAAACGGATTATGAGATTGGGAGTAGTTCCGTAACGTCATTTAAGACTTTCACGTAAAATTTGGTGTCATTCTGAGTAATATAAGTACGTTTCGGTGCATTGGAAACAAATTGAAGAACTTGAAGTTCTTAAGTTTGATTCAATTGGTTTAGGGTGTGATTCTTAGTTTTAATGTTGTTTCGGGTGTTCCGAGAGATTGAGCAAGCCCATTTTATGATTCCAAACTTGTTGGTACATTCGGGCGGGGCCCCGAGCGTCAATCGGACGAGGCCCGGACCAAGTTAAAAGTTTGGAGGAAGAGCTGAAGCTCTAGTTGCTGTCATAACCGCACCTGTGGTTGGTCAACTGCAGGTGTGAGCTCGCAGGTGCGGGCAATGCCTCGCAAATGCGGCCCAAGGAGAGGATCCCAAGCTCCGTAGATGTGATTCCTTTTTCGTAGAAGCGGGAACCTGTCTGCAGAAGCGACCCCAGCAGGCCCAACCAATTCTGCAGAGTGGACACCTAGTTCGCAGAAGCGAGTCCGCAGGTGCAGCAAAGGCACCGCAGGTGCAAAAAAGCTGGAGGCAGTGCACTTTATTTAATACGGGATTTAGGCATTTTCTCCCGTTTTTTACATATTTGGGCGATTGGGGAGCTCTCAAAGAGGGGAATTCGACTTAGCACTTTGAGGTAAGTAATCTCTACACAATGTGAGTTAAATACATAGTGTATGGGTAGATTATAACATGTAAATTAGTAAAAAACAAGGGTTTAAGTGAAAACCTAAGGTTTTGATAAAAATAAGATTTAATCACGAAATTTGCTATGGAATTTAGTAGAAATCATATATTTATGTTCCTAAGGTTATTGGTAACAAATTACCTTTAAAAATTTCTGGAATCCGAGCATGTGGTCCCCGGGGTGAATTTTAGGTATCTTGCAATTTAGGTTGGGTAATCACTTAAATGGTGGAATTATGAACTTTTCACTACTACAAAAAAGACCTTTAGCGGCAATTATTTAGCGGCAATAAGGCAATTGTTGCTAATAAATTCTTTAAGGTAAAAAATTAGCGGCACATGACCATTAGCCAGTAAAAGATATCTTTTTACCGGCAATAAAAATAAAATTGCCACTAAAAATTACTAATTGAATTAATTTTTATTGCTTTAAAAGAAAATTGATTAAAATTCCCTCCGCACAAAAAGAAAATCGATTTACCTCCAAAATGTTTGGACGAGAATCTTCATTCCTTCTAAATTTAGAAAAGTTTAGGAAGACATATTTCCCTAGATCGAAAGGATGCGGTCGAACTCTACCATAGAAAAGCCCTAATAGCTGCTGCGTCAAAGATCTGCCATAGTCTCCGTCGATTCTTTTCCAGGTAAGTTCTCTCGTCCCTGTTAAGATCTGCCATGATCTGTTTATAAATGGCAAAATATTCCATATTGATTCAGCCCCCATGTAGTATCCCCATGTCACTGCAATCATCGTTTTATTGTTAAAAACNCACTGCAATCATCGTTTTATTGTTCAAAAAGTCACATCCTTTTAGGCTTTGCATAATCGGTTGAATTTTTCAAGTTTATTTATTATGTCTCTTTCCTGTCATGTTTGATTTAGGTAGTCTTTAACTGAAACTTTAGATGGATGATTTCATCGCAGTTATATTAGCTTTTTTAAATTATAATTGTATACTTTTAATATATATATATAAACAAACTTATATTCCATTTAGCTTTAGAACTAGTTAAACTAACGTTCAATGAACAAAAGAGTAAAAAAACAAATTAGTAAATAAGAGCAGTATGTTTTGAAAATTTTAAAATATATGATATATGGTTCTTCTATGAAATATAAGTTTAATAATTCTATTTTTAAAAGATTTATGAACTAATGTATGAAAACCATAGAAGAAGTGTAATTTATAAGTTTAATAATTCTATTAAAAAAATTGAACCAATATGTGAAAATCATAGAAGAAATTAGAGATAGTTTAACTGTTTAATAGTTTAATTATTAAAACGATAGTTTTAATAGATTTATGTTTGATAGTTTCAATTGTTAAAATGATATCTTTGAACTATGGAATTACCTACTAATAGGATTGGTTTTTTATTTTGAACTACCTTTTTTTATTAATTTCTCCTTTTTACTAATAAATTTGTAGCTCTTGCAGTAATTATAGAAAAGAAAGGAATATCTTGAGCGTCATGGACAATCCTAGAAATAAAAGATGGATGTATTGTGATAGAGTTAGTAAAGAATATTTGGAGGGAGTAGAGAATTTTTTAAATCATGCATTTTCTAAAAAACAACGTGGAGAAAAAATTGCATGTCCTTGTACGGAGTGTGTGCTTATCCATCAAGTAAATTGGGCTACAACATATGATCATCTTGTGGTTAATGGTATTATACCGTCATATGATACTTGGTTTTATCATGGGGAGTCTCTAAAGGGATCAAACAATGCTAGAGAAAATAACCGAATCCATTCAACTTTAAGGAGCGATGATATGCGAGGAATGATACATGATGCATTTGTAGATGTTACACAGTTCATGGATACTGACATTAGTGAAAGTGGTTGCATGGATCAAATCGTACAAGAGAATACTGCTCATCCATATGGAAATCAACCTCATCCAGAGGTGGATAAGTTTGAACGGCTCATGAAGGAGGAAAATGAAGAACTGTATCCTGGATGTAAGAAGTTTGGCAAACTGTCTTTTTTGTTGCATATGTATCGCTTAAAATACACGTTCAAATGGTCAAATGAATGTTTTAATTCTTTGCTTGGACTATTGAAAGATGCGCTTCCTGAAGGAGAAAAATTGCCTCCTTCTTTCTATGAGTCCAAAAAGATAGTTGAAGGCTTGGGCTTAAAGTATGAAAAAATTCATGCTTGTCCCAACGATTGCATGCTTTTTAGGAAAGAGTTTGCTAATAAGAATGTTAATGAATGCAAAGTTTGTGGGGCTTCTAGATGAAAAAATGATGCTACAAAAATTCTAGCCAAGGTCCTAAGGTATTTTCCTTTAAAACCAAGGCTATAGAGATTGTTTATATCTTCAGAAACTTCTAAAGCAATGCGATGGCATCATGAAGAGCACAACAAATATGGAGTTCTACGACATCCTGCAGATTCTGAAGCTTGAAAAATTTTTGATAGTAAATATCCTGAATTTGTTGGAGATCCTCGCAATGTGCACTTGGGATTAGCTTCTGATGGGTTTAATCCATTTGGCACAATACGAACCGTACATAGTACATGGCCAGTGATTTTAATGCCATATAATCTTCCACCATGGATGTGCATGAAACAAGAGTTCTTCATTTTGTCCTTACTTATTCCTGGACCAAAAGCTCCCGGCAATAATATTGATGTCTATTTGCAACCTTAATAGAAGAGTTCAATGAATTATGGGATGTTGGGATAGAAACATATGATGCCTCTGCTAAGGACATATTTCAAATGCGAGCAGCTCTCATGTGGACTATAAATGATTTTCCAGTATATGGTACTCTCTCTGAATGGTGCACTTATGGTCGGTTTGCATGCCCTTCTTGTAACATAAACACTCAATCTAGAAGGCTTAGACATGGCAGGAAGTTCTGTTACATGGGGCATTGGCGCTTCTTGAAGTCAGGACACAATATCGGAATGATGCAAAATCGTTTGATGGTACTAAAGAAACAAGACCTGCACCTTGTCAAGTATCTGGGTAACTAGTGTTGAATCAATTTAAAGATATAAAATTTACTCTCGGCCAGTCGAGTGAAGGGGTAAGTGGAGTGATGAAAAACACATGGAAAAAGAGGAGTATTTTTTTCGATCTTCCTTATTGGAAGTCTAACTTGGTGCACCATAATCTTGATGTGATGTACATAGAAAAGAATACGTGTGATAACTTAATTTATGCATTATTCGTTCTTGGTAAAAAGTCTAAAGATAACTTAGAAGATCGATTGGACTTGAAGGAGATGAAAATAAGACCAAGTTTATGGCCTCAATATCGAGCTAGTGGGAAAGCATATCTTCCTCCTACTTTTTTCACAATGTCTCAAAAGGAAAAGGAGTTGTTTTATGAAGTACTACAAAATGCCAAGTTTCCAGATGGCTATGTGTCTAATATCTCACGTTGCATTCGCAAACGAAAGATATCTAGGTTAAAAACTCATGATTGTCATGTTATAATGCAAGAACTTCTTCCTGTTGCCTTGCGGAGATCAGTAGATAAAAGAGTTAGTTCCATTTTAATTGAACTATGTATATTCTTTAGTGTTCTGTGTAGCAAAGAACTAAAAGTAGAAGAGTTAAAGTTACTTGAAGAAAAAATTCCAGAAACATTGTCAACTATGGAGAAACTTTTCCTCCCAGGATTCTTTACTGTTATGATACATTTGGTAATTCACTTGGCAACTGAGGCTAAACATGCGAGGCCAGTACCTTATCGCTGGATGTACCCAATTAAGAGGTGTGAAGAATATCACTAAATCTTTGTTATATATCTTTAGTTGTTAAATATTATAATATCAAACTAATACCATTATTTTATTCCATAGGTATTTGGGTACTTTAAAATCATATGTTCATAATCGTGCATGTCTAGAAGGTTCGATAGCAGAAGCATATATAGCAAATGAGTGTATGGCATTTTGCTCACGATATTTGAGGGGTGAAGATTCAAGGTCTTATTGTTCAAGAAAATGCAGTGATGAGATTGAGCATGAGACTAGTAAAGAAGAATGTCTTTTTCTAAATGTCGGGGAGTCGTACGGTGGAGTAGATGTATTTGAGTTGGATGAAAAAACAAGGTTGCAAGCACATCGACATGCGCTTTTCAATTGCGAGTCAGAAGTGGTTGAGAATTATAAAAAGTAAGTGTTATATCTATTATTTAATATATGTATATTACTTAATTGAAACAAAATTAATATATGCGAGTTACATGAATAGGGAACATATTGCAGAAATCAAGAGATCGCATTGTAAGCGTCGTTTGAGTCAACACCAACTTGATCGTGGGCATTTCGATACATTTCATGAGTGGTTCAAGGAGAAAGTAAGTAGTAGAACTAAGTCATTGGTTACGTTAAATTATTTTCCTTGTACAGATATCCACATTTATAGTTGTATCTTTTATTTGGTTAGGTAAAGGATCTTGAAGCCACATCTAACATCTTAAAGGATATTAAAGTCCTTGCACAAGGGCCGAGTTACATTGCGAAAAGATTTAATACGTTCGATGTAAATAACAGGTATCGGTTTCGAACGAAGCAAAGTGAAGAATTTATGGTGACACAAAATAGTGGTGTTATGGTCATTTCAAAGACTGAAAGTTATGCAAGTACAAGTGACAATACTCCAAAGTCTGCATATATCACATATTGTGATAGATTGAATGATATTGTGGAGTTAAACTACTATGAAGCATTTAAGGTTGTTTTATTTAAGTGTGATTGGGTTGATGTAACCAAAGGTAGAGGAGTTAAGGAAGATGACTTGGGTTTCACACTTGTGAATTTCTCACGCCTTATAGACTCTGGCGGTCGGTTCTCATGAGCCCTTTATTTTTGCAGAACAAGCTCAACAAGTAATATTTATACAAGATCCTAAAGATCATGAATGGTTTGTCCCTAGGTTAATTAAACCTCAAGATATTTTTAATATGGGAGAGGAAAATAGTTTGCAGTTTGAGTCATCAATGCAGAGTGATGCCATTGACTTGGCTCTCCTAAAAAATACTCGTGTTCCAGAAGATGAGTATAATGATTGGGTAAGAAGTGGTGTCGATGGGATAGAAATTGATACAAACGTACATTCTCAAGCTTCTCCAAATGATGGTAAAGCTAGTGTTGAGGGAGGAAATGACAGTGAAAATGAATAAGATAGGTGGAACTTATAGAATATTTTTCTTGCGAGTGTTATTTAAGAATTCTTGTGATTTTTTTACTGCAAAAATTTGAATAAATATACTTTTTTGCTTTCAATTTGAGTCATTTTACAGAAGATGCATGTTAGTCAGCTATGGATTTTTCATGTTTGTATTGGTTGATTTGAGTCAATTCTTTGTGATTTCTTTTGCTTATATTTTGCTGATTGTAGCTATTGTATTGCAATTTGCTAAGGTGTTATTATCGCTAGACAATAGTTTTTGCTCGTGCATCAATACTTTTTATCTCTTTAACTATCTCTGTCGCAAGGCTTTGTCCGTGTGCTTGAATTGCTATTCATTTTTTTCACAGCTTGAGACGAGGACTATGTTTCCTCCTATTTTGCGTGTGACCTGCTGATTGGTTGGAGTTAATTTGGTACTAGTATAACTTAATGCATCTAGATAATTTCTTTATTTTAGAAAGAAACTATGCAAACTAGAGATCGCAATCGACTGGTAATTGAACAAGATTATGATGAAGATGTGAGACCTTATATTGAGCACTTGATGGATGGTCAAAACTACTCTAGAGCCCAGCCATATATTGAGCAGTTGATGGATAGTCAAAATTACTCTAACGCCCAAGCACATGATGGTCAATCTAATGAGTTGAATAGGTCTGATGGTGGCACTGAAATTCCAAATGATGACGATTCAGGTAATGTTTCTATAGTATTGCAATCTGATAATGTATAATATTAGATTATGGCTTTTCTACACTGTTTATCCTTGTTTCCTTATAATGGTTGCACATCATAAATGCTTATTGTATAGTGATATTTGATTTACTTGGTGCTTTCTTTGACCTTTAGAGGTTTTATTGATTTTGAAGTGCTGAGATTCGAGTTGCCTTCGTGTTGCTGCTGTTCAAATTTAGTTATTGCAATTACTGTAATTATTTGGTTCATTTTTTGCTGCCGAAATTCTGTTCACGGGTTGTTTATTTGGACTTACGGTTTCCTTAAAATCTCGACACTTTACGAACTGGTTAGCTTCTTATCTATGCAATTTTAATTCCCTCTAAGTGGACTAGAAAAATGAAGTCTAGGAGTGCATGAAATAGGTACATGATCTCCCTTTAACACTTCTGCCACGCAGCTTTTTATAGCATTTTGTCGAACATCCGATTTTTGTGGGAATAGGTACATGATCTCCCTTCAAGCAACTGATCGCGCACAAGGATTCTTGGACTGTTGCTACTGTTTTACACTGTCTGGAGATTGCTCTCTATTAAGCTTCTTGGTCGGATTAATTAACTTCTAGGCTTCATTTTTGGTGCAGAAAGCTACATGCTCCATTTCTCTTCTTACTGTTTGTTAGCTCTTTTTATATGCTTGCACATGGTAATATAGGCATCCTTGTGTGAGCTTCACCCATCTTCATGCATGTAGGATTATGATTATTTTTCTTTTTAGTCTTGCCAATTTCCAGTCAATTCAGTGGTTGTCATACTATAGCTTAAGGTTGATCTACAAGTGTTCTTACAGCAGTTAGAACTGCTTGTTAATGGTGAAGTCTTTTTTTGACAAAATGCTTGTTTATGGGCATGGTTTTAGGTATTGGTGTTTATTTCTTGTAGAAATCTGCATCAAGGATATTTTCACTTGACTCATTTATTATTAGGTTGTATGAAGTAAAGATGCCTAACTCGCCCACCTCCCACGTATAGTGAACAACACTGTAGTAGTGATCAATCATACATGAAATCTATGTAAAGAAACAGCAGTTAAAAGAAAGTCGTAATCATCAACATTGATAGTAGAATCTACTATCTCAGAAAATAAAGTGAGGGGGAAATGGTAGAAATAAGAATACTATACAGCTGCTTGAACCATAATAATGACTTAACATCTTTTAACTTCAGAAGAGAATTTATTATTCAATTAATTTAACCATAACTAGGATTAACTTCTTCAAAGTGAGCTGAAAACAATCCAGTAACACAACCAAAATGATCTCAGACAGTTTCTTTTTCATAGTAACCAACATGTTGTTGTTTAGGATATTATTGTTATTGATGTTGTTTGTACGATGCTCGCTGGACTCTTTCCCTGTGCATGTAGCACGTCCTGTACGAAGAATTTCAACTTCCATAATGTGGACTCACTCTGAGCATTCATGTCAAGCTCCACTTCTGTTGCTGTCGGTTGGAAAGTAGGATCGCTCTGTGCCACAATCAACAGTGCCTTATTAAGATCTTCAGGAGAGAGCTTTGTGAGCCCATTCCCAAGTTTTTTCTTGTCTTCAGTTGACATCTTTCTGCATTTCTGAAGCACCATTTCCCTGAGTTCTTCTAGTTGCATGTCCACCTCATCAAGCTCAATACTCAAATCTTTAGCTATTACATGAACGTCATGCCTTTCCTTATTGTATTTCATTGCATTCTTAAATATAAGCCTAACGTCTGCACATATCTCCCGGACATGCTTATAGCCAGAACCATACTTTTCTTCCATTTTTCTTTTGATAGTACTGAAGTCCATGGGCTTCTCAATAACCTCAAAGTAATCATGCAATCCAAGACTCTCAACATCCACAGGTTCCATAAAAGGTTCTGCCCACTTGTGCTGAGTGATCTGACGTAATATAGTGCCGAATTGGCGCACAAGTTCTTACATTCTCCTGGCACCAGCTGCTTCTCTACGTGATGCATCCTGTTGCCGCCTTTTAAAGCTAGAAATCTGTTTCTCTGTCTTTCAGAATAGAGCTACCTCTTGGTGTGTTTGATTGCTTTTTACTAGTATTGGAATAGAAATGCTCAACATCATTCAGTCTCTGCTCAAGCTGATCAACCTTCCCAACCATTTCATCAACACGTCAGCATTTTTTTTTCTCTTTAAGCTCCTGTATTGGGATGTCAGGAACCGAGTCATTTGCGTTCTTCATAGTAACCAACATGAGTGTGTGTCAGATTAATTAACTTCTTCATGAATGTTTATGTAGCATCTTGAGTTCGAGGTTGCAAATTCAAAGTCTGCTGCTGCTACAAACCTGCATAACAACAGCTTTATTCTCCACTCGATTAGTGATAGCCTTAGGGACAACTTTAATATTTGATCAGCTCCTTTACCATCTGCAGCAGCTTCACTATGTAGTGCATCAGCTGGAGATATGCTATTCAGAACTCACTAAATAGCTATTGTACTACCTAACGTTCTGTTCTCTTTTTCATTCTAGGTAATTCAGAAGCAAAAAGGGTTCGTGGGCCTACTTTACTAAAAGAGATTTGGAAACTTCCGCCGAGGAAGACAATTGATGTGCCCTTTAATAATCGTAACCAAGCTATTGGGAAAGAGGGTCGANCTCTGTGCCACAATCAACAATGCCTTATTAAGATCTTCAGGAGACAGCCTTGTGAGCCTATTCCCAAGTTTTTTCTTGTCTTCAGTTGACATCTTTCTGCATTTCTGAAGCACCATTTTCCTGAGTTCTTCTAGTTGCATGTCCACCTCATCAAGCTCAACACTCAAATCTTTAGCTATTACATGAACGTCATGCCTTTAGCTATTCAGAACTCACTAAATAGCTATTGTACTACCTAACGTTCTGTTCTCTTTTTCATTCTAGGTAATTCAGAAGCAAAAAAGGTTCGTGAGCCTACTTTACTAAAAGAGATTTGGAAACTTCCGCCGGGGAAGACAATTGATGTACCCTTTAATAATCGTAACCAAGCTATTGGGAAAGAGGGTCGAAAGCTTGCTAGCTTTCTAGGAATTATTGGCAGAACTTGGAACTAACACCTCTACATGTAGATGATTGGAGAAATTTTGACAACGAAGAAAAGAAGAAATTGGTGGATTTTGCGAAGGTATGGAATAGTTGTTGTTGTTATTATTATTTTTATTTTTTATTTTTTTGTGAACATGCTCTATATTTTATACATGATATTATCTTATAAATATTGGCTTTTATTTTTTCAGAAGAAGTTCTCTATCCCAAAACGTGGAGAGGCGTGGGTCTTAAAGTCACTAGGAAAAAAAATGAAAATATTACAAGTGCAGTTTGAAGGGTGAGTATGCGCAAAAATATAAGAATAAAGACGCTTTACTAAAAAATAGACCAAGTCGTATACTGCGGATTAATGGAGTGGTCTTGTCTCGTATTGGCTTTCCGATAAAGCTAAGGTATTGATAAGTTAGGATTTTAACATGTTTTATGCCCTTACTTTCCTATGCTTTGATCATATATTGTTACAAAATAGTCCTAAAAGGCTCACAAGTTGTGCTTGATCGCAGGTTTGATCGACAAAGTGACGAAATGTCAAAGATCGGCTCAAAAAGGAGTGAAACCTGCTCAAGTATCAAAGACCAAGAAATATTAAGAAAAGAAGGCCTGGGCCGCGCAAAGTGGAATGCGGCCGCACTAGGTGGTTCAGAGAGTTGGTGAATCAGCACTAGAAGAAGCGTGCCCGCGGTACACATCTCGCGGTTCGCGGTGAAGGCTCCACGGCCGCACTACTCTTTTGTGCGGTCCGCGGTCATGAGATTCAGAGAGATGAAGTTTGCAAAGCCAGTGGCATGCGGTCCGCGGTCGTAGTTGCGCGGACCGCGCCAGTTCCCTCCGCGGCCGCGGTCCGTTCTACGCGGTCCGCGGAGTCCAAGTTCAGAGAAGCAGAAGTAAGCCCAGTGCGGATGCGGTCCATTTAATGCAGCCCGCACTGACCCATAGGGGTATTTTTGTCTAGTTTTTCCAGCCTAGTATAAATAGAACATTTTACCATTTTTTAGAAAATCAGATACATCAGTGAAAAGCTGCCCTCGTGAGAACATATTTTGTAGCCATTTTTTGGCACTTTTGCTTTACATTTACGATAGATTCTTGTAATTTAATTTTGGCGATTAATTAATATGCTTAGTTCTTCATCTATTTCTTCAATTTCTTTATCTAGCATGAGTAGCTAAACCCATTAGTTAGGGTTGTGGCTCAACCCTAGTGTGGGTAATTGATGGGTGTTGCCATCTAGTGTTAGATTGACTATGGGTGTTTGCTATTTGGGTTGATTTTATGTTTTAATCTAGAATTGGTGGTTGCAAACGCTGATTCAAGCTTTATGGGTTTAACTCTTCGTGAGAAAGAGAGTCTATACCCCAAAATTGACCCAACAAGGAATTGGGATGGACTCATGAGAAATGATAGTCTCAATTAACGGGTTAAGCCTCGAGAGAGTAATTACCCTACTTGAACCCTAGATGCTTGGTCTAATTTGCCTACCCATTTGGTCTCGAGAGAGTCAATTGGGCAAAGTCACTTTCTCTATCGAGAGGTGTGAGAGTGGGTAAAATTGTGCAACGGTTATAGCATAAGCCCCAATTATATCAATCGAACCTTAGTAACATCTACCCGTCAATTAGCCACCTAGGTAGTGTCACGACCCTAGTGCCCTTCTTCCCATTAGATACAACTTAGCAATATTCTCATAGCATAATTTAGTGTTAATCAATAGTTTTACAAAAATAGTTATAATTTGAAAACCCAAAAATGTTTGAAGTGACATTAGGAGTACAAACACATCTCTAGGATAGACAGACAATCCAACTCCACTACTAGCTCTCTGAGGAATTCGATCCCGATCTTCATATCGAGTAAAAGCTATTGCGACCCGCTCTTCCTACCTTAGTGTAGCGTTGAGTTGGCAGTGATCAGGTATCAACCTTGAAAATTCTCCTAGTCTGCTCATTTTCATAGCGTTTTGATTTTAGGTATGCTCAATTTTTGTTTAAAGTTTATAAGATATCATTTTAATATTTCAATGAAAGAGACGTACCCTAGCAAATAGAAATAATAGGGCCAAGCAAACGATACCTCACACAAGAGGATAAAAAAGTATTGCTACCTTGATGAATGAGCAGGTAAACCTGTGAATACTACAAACTATAATATTTTAACCTTTTTTTGTCATGCAAACATATATGATATCATTTTTATTGTGTTAGGCTGTAAACGGGATAGAGCCTACACGAGCAGAAATTTTTCTATTAACTCATAAAAAACGTAAGGATGGTAGGCCACTGGATGATGATTCTGTCAAGATAATCGTAAGATTTATTCTTTCTTTATTTTTTTGGTTTCATGACTCTGTCAAACAATGTGCATTTTTTCCTATTTATGAATTCCAAATTGGATTTATTGTGTATTCTATGGTCAGGAAATGATAAATGAAAAGATGAGCAATAGTGAGAGATCTACTGAGCAACCTCCTCGTAGTGTTGCTTGGGAAGGCGATGTGTATTCCCAGGTGTTGGAAAATAAAAAAAGTGGGTATGTTCGTGGTTTAGGGCTTGATCCAACTCCTTCTGTTTTATGGGGTAGTAAGTCTTCCTTAGGAAATATTGTTGCAGATGATTCTTCTAATGAGGTTATACAAAAGTTAGAACAACAGATAATCGAGTTAACGGAGAAACAAAATGATGAAATGAATATTATGAAACAAAATCAGGAGAATATGCAAGCAGAATTACTCCAAATGAGACAATTAATGCGCAAATATGCTCCTAATGCATCTATGCCTCAAAGCAGCAATGGCACCTTGGGTGAACAGGTAACTCCATTTAATAAACTTTAGATATTTTAATTGAAATTCTAATCATATAAAAGTATTGTTATTTAACATGTTAATATTTATTAGATTCCCGACGCCAATAGTGACATGAACGAGTACCACAAATATCAAGAATGCCTAGTGTTGCTGAAAATGCTCAACCTTCTCATGGTACTACTCATCTTTGTCCTTCGTCGTTACTGTTTGAGTTTTCCTCCTTCGATTTTTATTAATTTGTTGTTGTATTTGGACTTTCCTTGGATGCTTCCTGCTTTAGATAATTTTCACTGATGTTAATGTCGCAAAGGTTGTGATAATTTTTAGAAATACAAGACGCACTAGCATATGTTGAACATTTCTATTAAATCCTGCCAAATGTTTATGTTGTCAAAATCATGTAATAATATCTCTCTCTGGTATTACATGATTTCATGCTTGAAAAACAGTACTTGAAAATCTGGCATGCTTGAAAAGTAGTACTGCACAACATGAAATTCGACAACACAGTAATAGATATTCATTTCTGTCCACATTTTAGCAAGTCCAAATCTAATCATGACAACACAACATTGCTTCTTAACTTGTTAATCAGCATGAATGTATGTCTATAGTTCCTTTAGTTCAAGTTCATACGACAACAACCACTGCTTTGTTTTCTCTACATCTGCACAACGTTACTTCACCTGATGGTTTGTGTTGGCAAGATAGATTAAGCTATTCTTGAATGTTTCGAAGGGACAGATTATACAAGGGAGAAAAGGAGACCACTTCAAATGCAACTAAATTATTGCCTTAGCGTGGTACCCTCTTTCTACTCAGCATTTCCTGCACAAAACAACACATTTTAGTCCAAAAAGAATGGAAAGTTTAAGACAGAAATGAAAAGAAGATCATGGGGGAATTAAATTGGTTTTTGTATAAAAGCAAGTAAATTTAGGTGAACTAACAAAAAGATAAGTCAATCAATCTTAAACAGTAGTATTTATAAGAAAGATAAAGAGCCTGGAGTTTCCTTCTTGACACTAGCACTACTAGATACTTAAGATTTGTGCTATTCATTTACAAATACTTAACTTGGTGCTTAACTTTACGAATGCTTAACTTAGCTCTGTTGTCTTTATCTCTTTTCTTCGTGCTTGGAATTTTTTTAACATTTTAACATTCGTGAAATATGGAACATTTTGTTTGGTTGTGTAACTTGTATCTCTATGGAACATTGATGTTCAAATAATAGCTGAAGCTTGACCAGGTTCAAATCCATTTTGCACTTGTTCATGTCCTTCAGTTTCGAAATATGAGACATCATATCAGTGATGGTAGAAGAAAAACATTACAGTAATGGTTGAAGGATAGGTTTATAGAGAAAACATCACATCAAAATTGAAATTTTGATTGGATGCGTGAATTTCTTAATTCTTGAAAGTTGTGACAGATTTTTAGAAGAGGAACTATGATAAATATTCTAGAACTTTTCAAATTGAGAAGAGTATCAGATAAATTGGAACGGAGTAACACTAACACCTTTAATCCTAAGTTTCACTTTGAAAAATCATTTTAAGACCAAAGAAGGAAGAGGATGAGGTGAAATGTAATAAGTTTGTTACCTTTTACGTGTAGCTTGTATCTCTCTGGAACATTGATGTTCAAATAATAGCTGAAGGTTGACCAGGTTCTTTGTTATGTTAAGATTTTGATTCTTCGTTATACATGATCAAAAGAATGTAATTATTTCTGCTTATAGATGTTAGCGTATTTGTTGTAGATACAAAGGGCAGAGCTTGCTTAAGATGATTTTGTTTCTATACCAAAGCAATCCTTGAGTATTTGCTTCGAAGTTCTTCCAAATCCATTTTGCACTTGTTTCATGTCCTTCAGTTTCGAAATTTCTCGCTTTATTTGGTTTACTCTTTTCAGGACAACATCAAGTAAGGTATCTGTTTCAACCATTGATGTATGGATTGATAGATCTGATCTTTTCTTGTCAAGTTGTTCGTATAGATTCATGATATAGTTCTTTTGAGCAAAAAGCTTTTCCTCAGCAAGTCTGTACTCAAATTCTTGAGGCTTCCTCAATGCCTACAATGTTTGACTGACAAAGTATCTAACAATGATGGAATCTTCAAGATGTTTTTTCAATATTATACTTTATCCTTTAACACAATTATTTTATAATTTCAGGTCATACGGTCTGATGTTCGATAATTTAGTAGTTGGAAGATTTCAAAATTATGAGAAGTTGCGGAAATCATTTGAAGACCATCATTCTGGATTATCACTATGATGACATTAGCTATTTAGTCCAAACAATATATTTTTATGTTTTAAGTTACGATGATATTAATATTTTTGATTAGTACTTCCTTTTGTTTGTTAAGATTTAATGAGATATATTATATTTTTTTGAATTAATATTAATATATTTTATTATTTGGGTCATATTTATACAAATGTAGTAACTATTATGAATTGTCGCCAAATTATTGATATTATCGCTAGTGATTTTTAAAGATATTGATTTTTAGCGGCAATTTAGTTAAACATATTAGCTATTAATATGGACGCTAAAAGGGCAAACTAATTGCCGTTAAAGATGCAAATTTTTTAGCGACAATTATTTTGAATTTAGCGGCTATAAAAATGGATGGTAAATAAGTATAATTAGCCGTTTGGATTGGATTTAGTAGCCATTATAATTGCCATAAACAATTACCGCTAGAGATTCGAACATTTAGCGACAAT